GTAGTTTTTGGTATGTAAAAATTATCAAACTCATATAAACTTAAAAAATGTGATAAGCTTTTAAAAGTAGAGATTTCAAGCTTTAAAACCCTTTTTTTAAATTTGAATTTCATTCATTATTGACGAAGATATTGTATATACAACTTTAGCTAAAAGTACGCGATGACTTTTTACTCAACCTAATATGTAATAATATTTATAATGTTAGTCATTTTTAAAAAATATAAAGCCTTTTTCCTATAATTTTATTCTTTAATCGTGTTTTGATTTTATTAAAATTTTAGATAATTAATAACAAAGGATCACATTTGGACATTCGTCTTCCTTCTATTAGTGCCAGCTTAGGCATCAACGGTAAGTATAGAAGTCCTTGAGCTTACAAGCAAATGCTGATCGCAAGAAAGAAACAAAATCGACGTCTAACAATATACTTACTAACTAACAATAAAGCCAAATTGAACTCAAGGTTGCTTTCTTTTTAGGAAACACAGCCCCTACAGCACAAAAGTTGCAGCAACAATGCTGCAACATTGCAGTAATATTGCATGTTGCAGCAATATTGCAAGTTCTGTGCTATATATCAATACAAATGTTGATCTATCTTTGTTATTCAATGAATGTCAAGAAGGATAAAACGACGTTTGTATCAATTATGTTCCTTAAAAGGAAAATAGCCTGTATTACTGTTTTATGTATAATAGAGGAAATTAAAGAAAAAAGGAATTATCTTTCTATATTTCGTGTCGTCTTAATTTATGTATAAGTAGATACGTAAGTAGATATGTAAGAGTATTCTAAAAATAACGATAAATCTTTCGCACAGGGGTAGAATGGACTGAACTGAGAAGAAAAGTCCTATATAGTTTTATAATTTTGCATAGTTAACAAGATATTAATTGCTAAAAATTGCCGAAAATTGATTTTTAATAATTTTTTACTCAAATACTATCAACTTTATAAAAAAACTGCAAAAGACAAAAATTATTTATTTTCTTCTCATATATAGAGCTCTAAGAATTTTTGCAGAATTTTTAAATACCATATTTTCTCATATTTTTTAATAAAAATAAGAAAATGCAGTACTAAAAAGTTAATAAAAAATTCTGAAAAAATTCTTAGAGCTCTATGAAAAGAAAATAAACAATTTTCATAAAAAATATATATATATATTCTATATGTGTGTGTGTGTGTGTGTGTGTGTGTGTGTGTGTGTGTGTGTGTGTGTGTGTGTGTGTGTGTTTGTGTGTGTGTATATAAATATTAATCAACTATCTCATTGAATGACCGTTTATTTCAGTTAACAAGAAATCCAAGGAACGTGCAGCCAATGACTTGACGAAGAAGGGCGTACCGAGTATGGAACCTCTTCCAGAGCTGCCGTCCTGCGATGACTTAGCTTCCAGCGGTGTGGAGAGCTGGCTTGACTCCTCCAGCAAATATCACAGCTGCGAGATCGTTGACGAAGAATAGCATTACGCCAACTACTCGAATCACGAGAATTTAATGATGGATGCCGCCGATGACTTCGAACACGACATACAGGCCTTTGATTACAAAAACGCGGAGAGCTGGCCGTCATCATATGATGACTAGCAATAAAAGAAATAGCACACATCCTTTAGCTTCCGTTTAATACACATACTTGTGGATTTTAATTTGCTAAAATGAAGTTACAGATTTTTAATGTTAAATTATTCTATAATTAACTAACTTTTGAATTTCGTTAAAGCTAGAACCATTATAAAACTCAAAGGATTACATTCCTTTACTGATTGCAATATTATAATCATGATGTTGTATATACACTGTAGATTTGTTGCCTAGCAACGAAATTCGCAACGAATTCACACTTTTCGAAAAGCAGCTACATAATGTAAATTTAATACTATGTACATATCTGTAAATATCATACGACGCTTTCGAAGAATGAAAATTCTAGTCCATAAAACAGGAAACAAAACAGTGCTTACGAAAGTATTCTAAGAATTTTTGGAAAAAAAACAAGCGTTAAATAAATCCAATGTTATAAGTAAATACATTATAAAAATGCGCCTATAATGTTTTTGTAAATATCGAAGTCGATCAAAGAATCAAGCTTAGCAAAAATCTAGAATTTCTTACCTAAAAAAGTTTTTTACTAAAAATGTTAAAGAAATATCTACATATTTAATTAACTAAACTTCAAAAAATTATTTATAACAAAATAAATAAGAATATACTGATATTAAAAAGAGAATACTTCGTTAATTTTCTCATTACATTGATTCCATTTTACACATTCATTCGTTATATCGTTATATTTCCAATAAAAACGTATAAAGAAGGGAAAATTATGATAATCAAACTTGACTCTTTTTAAAAATATTTAAATAAAATATTTAAATAAATTATTATTATATATTTGCATATTTATATTCTTTAATTATAATATTAATTGTTAATTTTAAAAGTTATTTTCTTCAACCTCTCTGCAAAATTTTACTTTTTTTATAAATATCTTTACCACGAAAAAGAACTAAATTTTCAGCAGGGAAGAAACTATGTATAAAAGGACCGAATAATGAATAAGGAGATAGAAAAACAGAAAAAGAGAACGAGAGAGAAAGCACCATGGTTAATAGACCACATGAAGGACTCTCGAATGAGACTTATTGTTAATAGTAGATGCTTTGGCCTCGAAAAGGGGGTTAACGAGCGGTGGTGCCACCTACGCGGAGGGCGTGGTGCTAGTTCCAAGGGTAGTTTAGTGTCGCGAGAGCCTCCAGAGGCGCGTCATCGTGCGGAGTGCAACCCCCGGAGTGTGCAGTTTCGCGCCCTCAGATCAGGGCGGCTAAGAGCGAGAGGGACGCGCGCTTGAGCGCGATCGAGCGAGGGGGTTGAAGGTGGACAGGTGGCAGATGAAGAGGGGAAGCGGAAAAAGGGGTGAGAAAAGCTTTGCGGGGTGACCAACAAGAGAACGAGGCTGACTGGCGTATTCTGAATGTGCGCGTACGTCGGCAAGAGGAGATTCCGCGCGGAGATGAGCGTACAAGTGGCCGTCGTCCTTTGTGTTGCGTCTTCCCATCGATGAGATCGCGTTCCGCAAGTAGGATACCGTGGAAAGAGCACAAGGACATCACCGCCGCCACCGTCACCATCGACAGGACGAAGGACACGCCGTCCCTGAGGACTGCTTTTCCTCGTTTCTGACGACAGTGACCATGGCGTCCAACCTGTCGTGTAAACAGTGCTCCAGTGAAGAATGCAACCCGTTTTCCAGACTGGAGATGTTGCCATATCCCTGCTGACAAGCGGACGGAATATCTGGTATGTTGAGGACAGAGGGAAGAAAGAGGAGGTGAGAGGAAAAAGATGCTGTCGCGCATTTTTGAGCAACTTTCAGTGAAGCTACCAGAGGAGGGACTACTGAGAATAATGATCTCGCTGCTGGACTTGCAGTGTGCATTGCTGTAATCGCGCGGGAGATTCATAAGATCACGAATGAGAGAGCTGATGAGTATAATGTGTGATTGTTATTGATCAATAGCGTAACGAAAACATGCATTTTGGATGCGTAATTACTCTCGTAAGAGTCTCAGCAATATATATTGTTTATTCATTCAGGTTGCTTTAAGCTCAATACCGCAAAATGAATAAAAAAGTTTTAGAAAAATATATTATATAGAGAAAGGGAAAAAATGAAAAAAGAAAGTGAAAAATAATATGTAATCGCTATTGATTAAAAGTAATACTGGCTGCTGAATATTATGTCAGAATATATCTTTTTGTTTAGTAATTCTAGTTTTTTACGTAAGCAAGTTCATAGAGATTAATTCTGAAAGTTCTGCAGCTGATGCAAGAACACCTGATATTAGGTACTTACGAGATACCGAAAAGGTAATCTGTATTTAGAGACTTTCGCGTAGGTTACAAAGAGTAATATGGTCGTTTGAGTTTGTGCTACGTTGCGTATTAGTCAGCAAAGCATAATTAGGTTATAAATGGAAAGTTGGCAAGTTATCATTGTTGATGACAGATGAGAGTTTGTGCTTCGTAATGCTCCGTAATCAAATGATGACCTTTCTTTCATTTGTAACATATGTATATTTTTTAAACTATTCTAAATTAATAGAAAGCTATTGCAACTCAAATTCAAAGATTAATTAAAATTTTTAATTTGTTAGCTATACTTAATATTTAACAGACATTTTAATCCTCTTAAAAACTTTAGTTTAAATTAATCAAAAAATAAGACTGTAATATTTTATAAACAATTTGAATATTTAAAATTGAAATAAATTGAAAAATAGAATGATTTTTTATTTTTTTCTTTGTTTTTTTGCTTTTATTCTTCTTACTTTTTTAATGTCTATATTTAAAAAATAAAAAATTTTGATTTTAAAAAATCATTTACTTATATTTAATTAGATTCTAATTAAAAAGGGATTAAAGAAGAAAAAAACGGCGCTTATAATCGTTTCGCATGATTTAATCATCAAAACTTTACTGTAACTTGCGTTAACTTATTGCATCTTTACAGTATCAAGAAACAAAATTGTAACGCTCGTTTAGCTCTATAATAGTTAAGGAAAAAGTTAGATTCTCGCTGATTTGTAAATCGTTTATGATGTTTCAGACATCAGCGATTGGGCGGCGAAGAAAGCAGAAACGTTTCATTAAAACAAATCACGAGAAACTCGCGTTAATTATTGTGACTTTACTTGTGATGATCTACATGATCGATCTATGTGATTCTTTTCTTGCGTAGTAAGCCTGCTTAAAAAAATAATCGGTCGTGATGGTGTCACGCGGAATGATGATCGTTCGCGTCGCGAATTCCGACGAGGACAAAAAGAGTTCAGCGCCTTCATATTCACTGCTGTCGTCGCATATTCACAGTAGACTGAGGTGTATCATCTTACATTCCAAAAGACATATCGCTTATCCACCATAAGGTAAGGACTTAAAAAGTATTATTATGTAAATCATTAAAAATATAGCATATTAATAATTGAATATTAAAATGGAAATAATAGAATATTAAAATGGCATTTATAATTGAATATTAAATTGTACGACAGGCTTAGAATATTCTGAAAATGATAAAAAAATGTGTCATTTTGCAAAAGTGAAAGGTCACGTTACAATGAATTAAACACTCTTTTCAACAATTAAGATCTTTATCTTATATGTTATAATCTCTCTAATCGGTCGCGTTCACGCTGTCTCGACGTAAAAGAAATTAATTGTGACATGCGATGCTAGAACATTTACCTGTTGCTTTACGTTCGTGCAAAGCAAACGACGAGATTGTAAGTAACTAACCGTTAACTTCGCAATTCGTAAGAATTCTGCGTGTAAGAGCGAAATGAAGCTTAACCTTCCAAGTATTCGAGGGAAATCAAAACGAGTAACTTTTATAAAAAAAAGAATGCTTTTAATTCTAAGTCATCTAATCAGAAGCTTAACATTATGGAAATAGCAAATAAAATTTATAGTAATATAAACATATATATAAAATTAAAGATTTAATTTTATTTTAGATTAAATGAATTAAACAACTGTGCAGCTATAATTTATAATTTAATTTATTTCACATCAGGAAGAAATTATTCATTATTGCAGCTATTGATACACGTTGATATATTCTGAATGATTTAACATTTCGCGGTAAAAGTGTAGCTACTGCATATATACATATTATTATGTACGTGTATGCAATACTTTGAATCTCACGATATGACGCAGCGCTCGTATATGTTGATACGTGCAGCTGCATCATATAAGCCTCGTATCAATATTTTTCATTTTGCACAAAAACACACTTGCGAATTAAATTTCAGATATCGCATATCGACAAAACGGAGACTCCGAGTCGATTTGTCGATACACGTGTGTCGTAGTATATAGCAGTCTTTAAGAAAGAGGGTTGCATGTTGCAGACCGCGTGGTTCCTCCGTTGCTGTCGATATAGGCAGATGTAGGGTCGATAGCCCTCCCTTCTCGTACGGCGCTCGCGTCAACCCCACGCGCCACATTATAGACAACGGCTGGCTGTTTACTGGAAAAGTAAACGTTACCCCATCGAAGAGCTTTCTATTCTATCGTAACCTGCCGTAACCGGTCTCCACAATCTGGAGAATTAACTCACTCTTGTTTTATTTAAACAATATTTAAAATCGTCCTATTAAGGGTACCATAGCTCGATATATCGCATTTTCTCTCGCAAATTTTATTACATTGTTTTTATGTATATTCGTTTTTCTTCTCCTTTGAATTTAGGGTAAAAGTTTATTTTTTACTTTATATGATAAGTAGCTTTGTGATTTGCAGGAATGCGAATTTTACATTCAGCCGTGGGATGATTGAGTTTTATTACTTGGTTGATTGTGATTAGCCTTTTTATTGGCTTATAGTGAATTCGATCATCCGCATTCTACCGGATTACTGCGCATTAAAAAGACTACTTTATATATAAAGTATGTAAATGCAATGACATAACATAATCAACATTGACAATCAAATAATACATGTATATTTTGTTAGTAACGTGACAATATTGTTACTGAGTATTTAATTTTTTAAATATTTATATGTTTTTGCATTAATTTTACTACTTTTATATATAACAGTTTTTAATAGAGATGGATATTTAGAAAGTATCCAGTATCCGGTATTATCCGGCACTTTTTTAACTATCCGACCGGATAGTCGGATATCATTAGTGTCCGGAAATATATTCAGTTAAAACTTGATATCATTAAATTGTTGATTTTTTTCTTATCTAAACGTTCTAGAAATAAGTATGCATATTCATGATGCTATAATATCTTGTTGAAAAATTACAATCTTTTTTTTTATAGGCTTTTTTTTTTAGAAGACACTTTCTCGAAATCCGATCGGATATCTGGAAAATGTCGGATATCCGATTCAAAAAAATTGTCTTCTTAAATATCCGATCAGATACCGGATATCCTATATCTGGTAATTTTATGATTCGGTGCATCCCTAGTTTTTAGTAGTGTACTGTAACTCAAGTATTTGCTATTAAGAATCTATATGTCACATCTAAAAAGAGTACTAAAAATATAAAAATTTTATAGATTGTTCTATTATTACGAATATCTCTATGTATTCAACAATAATTTTTCTCATTAGTTTAAAAGTTATTTAATTTTTTGGTTTGTCTTGGTTCTTATATAAAATCGCGTTTTTATATGCAAATATGATGAGAACATTATAAGAATTAAATCAAATTTTATACATATACTAATAAAACAATAATAAATATTTGTATAAAAGTTTATTTAAATCGGCTTACTTATTTAAAAGTGATTGACCTATTGCAAAATATGGTCGTTTTGCTGCATAAAATTATTATAAAATATTATAAATCAAGTTATTTGTTGTTTTGTTCTTTGGTTTTGTACTTGGTTTCAAGGAATATTCACTGAATAATATATCATCAAAATTTGTTTAATAGTATTGGCTAATATCAAAGACATAGAGCATGAGCTGCGTCATTCGTATCTAAATAGTATAATATTAAATATGATCAACAAAAATGAAAAAGAGGGAGCGTGAAGACGGCCAAACTCCTTCTCTTTCTAATATTGCGATTAATTGAACAGAAAGAGATAGAAACTGGCCGTTTTCGCGACCTATCACTCTCATTTTTATTGATCAATTTTATGGAGCAATTCATGCTCTTTCTATTTGGCTAATACTAACTTATTTTAGTTGATTGTTTGACTGATACTTTCAGCTGATATCGCACAACCAAAACATGGTATTGAAGGATTTCGATTAATGATACGACAAAACGATAAAAAGACAACGCGCTCTACCACACACAATTGTGACTTATAAAATAATCACGTACACAAGACAGAGGTCAAGAAGTCGCGCCAAACTATTTACATGCGATGGACTCGCTCACGATAAGCTTGACGGGGCAACAAGTGTCCCGGCGTAAATCCAAGTGCAAGTCCAACGTGCTCCAGTGGAGACCTTGACTCGGCAAACATTTTTATAAGAATCGAGATTTATTTGCATTTGTTAACACTCTTCTTCTCTCTTCTTCTTTTATAAATTATTTTTTTGTATTAATAAATTTAAAATATACAATAAATTTAGCTCAATTATAAATTTCAAGTAAAATGTATTTAATTGTCATAAAAAACCGATCTCATTTTTAGTTTTTCTTATTTTAATTAAGAGATTAAAACGAATTAAAAAATTTTAATCAACGACTATTTTAAATTAATCTACGCATAATTTAATCAGACTATCTAAAACTTAAAATTTATTTATCTGCTAATCATTTTTTACGAACTTTCAAATAATATTGAATGCACCGACAAAATCATAGATTTACAAATAAAGAAAATGTGCAGTGGATACAGTGCTAAAAAATCAGTGCCAGGAAATTTTAGTGTTCGAAAATAGGCGATTTCATTTCTATGTAAAGTAAGTAAACGAAATAAGTCAGGCAATCCCATCGACATAAATTGGATTGACCGATCAAACGCCGCACTGTTGAACCTGTTTCTGTCTCATGCGGCTTGTTTTGGTGAAAATCGAGGGATTGAAGGACGAAGGGTTAGCTTCCAACCCTACGCCAGCTTTAATCCAATTCAAAAGCTGTCCGACAAACCGCCGCTGTAAAACGAATTGAGAATGATAGAATGTGTCCTCTCAGTGATTCTAGATCGATTCTAGAATGGTTACGTGACACCGGAATGATTACGTGACACTGTTGTATTTTAATCACCCTCCTAATCTGCATTTCTATACAGTGTCAACTTTGCAACGTTTTTGAATTTCTATTAGGTAATAGAATAAGTGAATAACCGAATAATTTCTTCTCATTGAAATTTTCTCTTCTAATATAGAAATGTATACGGAAAGGGGGGTTCCATTTATGTCTTCATTAAAATGTTATTGTGTGCAAAATTGAAATATTTATGATTAAACTCCTGATTAACTTCCTGCAATTAAACTTTATTAATTTTCTAAAAATATCCTAAAATTAATAGAACCGACGTTTCCTATACGAGCTAACATCTTCGAGGTCGGAACAAAGTGGCGAACGGAAGTAAAATCGCAAGGAAGCGATTGTCGTCACGCGAGCCATATCTTTCCCGTCGACAAGATTATTTTCATATTTTCAGGAGACCCAATTTACATACGGACTCACGGTACGAGCAATAAAAGAGAGCACACACATTGGTTTTCTCGTTTTTTTTTTTCCCGATACGTTATCGACGCTAATTTGTTGGCTGGAATTGAAGGAAGCCAATTAACCTAATTTAAATAAAAATACGCGATCGAAATAAAAATATAGAGCTTCAACGTCACACGCGCAACGTATTACTGGACCTCTTGAAATATCATTATTTTACTATTTAATTATTAATAATGTTTGCTAGCTTTAAAGTTAATTTTAAGTAAAATTATTTATTATTTATTAAATTTGAAAAAAAAAAGATTAATACATATTAATTCAAATACGATATACAATTGTTTAAAGCAGTCGACATAACATGTCGTTAG